ACCCCTCCACCCCATCACCAGTCCCCTGCTCTCAGGCCCTCACCTCATAGGCTGCCCAGGTGCTGGTTCCCTTGCCCTGGCTGCCATCCTCTGGGGAGCTTGGCTGGTCCCATCAGGGTGCAAAACTGGGCCTGCCGCCTCTCTGCTCTCTTCTCTGCCCCAACTACTCAGCCACGGCTGGAGATGGTACTGGCTGTCACTCTGATGTGCCTTCAGAGACACACAGAGCTGGCCAGGGAGGGGCAGGGCCTGGCACCACACCAGCCCCCTGGGTCCTAGCAGCTGCCAGCTGAAGGCTGGAGGCTCTGCTGTGGAAGTGCCTGGGGGTGCCTGGGAGGGGCAGAGGCGCAGCTGGAGGCTAGGCTGGGGCTGTTGGAGGGTGGGCTTTGGTGTCAACCAGACCCTGTTCGGCTGTTCCCAGGTAGCTCCCCATTTGCTCTCACTGTCAATCCCCAACAGTGAGAGTAATCAAATCAGGTAGCCCTGGCGCTAAGGGGAACCAGGTAGAGCAGGGGGACCCCTCCATTCCCTCTGGCAGGCAGGAGGGCCGGTTCTTTCAGAGAGTGGAGGCTAGGTAAAATGAGAGAAAAATCATAGGACTGGGCACATAATGGGTGCTCAGCTAGTATTTGTTAGCTTGGCACAGAATAGGTGCTTCCTGGCAGTACGTGGAATAAATGAAAGGAGTCTATAGGGAACAACTGCTGGTTTTGTTTGTTTTTGCTGCTCAAACAAGTCCTAAGCCTTGTTTACTAAGAACACTCTGACTTTTCTTTAAGAAATCACCCCTCTCCAGCTCCCAGTTGGGTTATGGAACTGGCAAGTGGGATCCCATCCCTTTGATTGGGCATGAAACCTGGTACCAGCCAGGCACCCCTAGCCTCACCCCACTCCCTGCCCAGATGGTTGGTTCAGGGAAAGTCATGTGACTTAGAGGGGGTATGCCCCCCAAGTGAAGTCACCCAGTTCTACCACCAGACACCCTCTATATACTCTGATGGCTTGCGTTTGTATCTGAAGTTCTTTCCTTTCCTTGAGGCCCAGGTTTGAGTGTCTAGCTGCCTCTTCGATACCTCCATCAGGACTAGGACCTGGCATCTCAAACTTCCTGTTCAAAACAGCCATGACCCTGACCCCTCCCCAGCCTGCTCTGTCTAGCTGCCTCTTCGATACCTCCATCAGGACTAGGACCTGGCATCTCAAACTTCCTGTTCAAAACAGCCATGACCCTGACCCCTCCCCAGCCTGCTCTGTTCAGTCCCCCTCAGTAAACTCCACCGCTGAAATTTTCACTGCTACCTCTGCTCCACTAACATACCTGGATCCAGTCGTGTCTCCAAACACCTCTGCCCTGGTCCCCGCCACATCTCTCCCTGGGACTGTTTTGGTGTCCTCCTGGAGGAAGTCCTGGCCTCTGCCCCTGCAGCTCATGCTAGTCACTTGCTTCAGGTCCATTGTCCATTTCCACACAGCTGCCCTGCCCTTTAGGGAGCTCTACTCAGCTTCCTTTGCCAGTTGGATTTTGGGTACATTCAGTCAATGGAAGTAACCGGCAGGACCCTGGCAGGTGAAGGGAGGAAAAAGGGACACACACCCCTTTGTGCTCAGCTTGGGGCTCTGGGTCTACCTCTGTAGCCTCTCTCTCCAGAGCTGTGGTTCTCTAGCCAGCTGCCCTGCTGAGTTGTGAAATAACCATTTTCTCCCCCAGCCCCCTGCTAATCTTTGGAATGTCTCATCATCCCCTTAGCAGTTCAATTTCTTCTCTGTATCAAATTCCTGTTGCCCAGAAAACCTACAGTGATTTCAGTTTTGCTGACAGTCTCTTGACTGACACATCCTAATGTCCCTTCTCTACATAGCACCTGGAGACAGATCTGGTCCTGACACTGTTCTCATCCCTTAGAGTGGAATTTCTTGGAGTAGAATATTCTATCAGAATAGAGTATCTGTTGCTTGGCTCGGCCTTCCTCTGTGCTGGCTTGGCCCTTCCCACCTCACCCACCTCACCCTTCTTCACCTTGCCTACCAAGCTTCCAGCCACAGCAATCATCTCACTGCTCCAACTACATGTTAAAACTGTCCACCCCAGGACCTTTGCACTTGCAGTTTCCTCTGCCAGAACACACATCCCATAGCTTGCTCCCTCACCGATTCAGGTCTCTGCTTGAGAGAGGCCTTCAGTGACCATCTTTTTAAAAATCATTCCACCTTCCCATCACTAATTCTTTCACCCTGCTTTATATTTATTTCTGGCTCTTCTCCTGCCTGATGTGCTCTTTTGTATCTATGTACATGTCTGTAGAGCCTGTTTTACTACACAGTAAGCTCCATGACAGCAGGGACCTCTGTCTTGCTCATACCAGTGCCCCCGGGCCCCTCACAGGCATAGTCAGCAATACAGAGTAGGTGGTGGAGACCACCTGGAGCTTTAGGTTTGACTTGTTTCGTGCTGGAATTTGGAGGGCCTCAGTATAATTTTTCATAATTCAGATGAGAAAACTGGCATCCAGAGAGGGAAGAAGTGTGTCCCAGATCAAAAGCTGAGCTAGACCTTGTTTCTTGGGCTCTGTCCACACAGACGCTACTGCCTATACTGGTCCACAACTTGAACATGGATTTGCTTCTGGGAGTTGAAATTGGTCCCCGGAAGGGAAAGGTCAACACGGCTCCTTTCTCTTTGCCCTGCCCAATCAGGTCTGTAGGCCTGAGGCAGCACCTGAGCAACCCGGGTCTGCAGGTGGCTTAGCAGGGGCCAGGTGGGAGCAGCCAATGAGAAAGGTGGGCTGGACAAGGCAGTAGGCGGGGTGGGGACTTCGGTGGGCTGGAGAGTACATGCTCCCTTCAGAATCACTCAAATAAATTAATAAGTAAAGCTCTTTGTGACCTATCTGTGGTTGTTTAATTGGAAAAAAGAAACGCAGGGTTAACCAGAAACGAATGACCTTAGCTTCATGCAGCAGGTAAGTGGCAAGGGAGAGGCTAGGAGGCTTGGAGGCTAGGAGGCTAGGAGGCTTGGAGGCTAGGAGGCTAGGAGGCTAGGAGGCTTGGAGGCTAGGAGGCTTGGAGGCTAGGAGGCTAGG